GTATTTGCAAATATACCATTTATATAAGGGACTTGAGCACTGATGGATTTTGATACCCAAGGGGGTGTCCTGGAACTGAACCAATCCCCCACCGATAATGAGGGTGACCATACTAATTTGTAAAAAAAATACAATAACAACAAAAGAATTACATACAAAGGTTAAAATGCAAAACAATTTGAGAGCTAACAAATAATAAAATAAACCAAATTCCTCAGTAAAATAATCAACCAAGATGAAAGAAATTGGACTTAAATTTAACTCTCCAAGCCTTACTACTAAGAAAGGGAGAGTAAATTTTAAATCGTCAAGCTTTACTAGTGAGAGGAAGGGAGAGTGATCAATCTCCACTAACTACAGTCTCTCCGAAGTTCAACTCTTTTGTATGTGTAATTGTATAATAAATACTTGGAATCTGATATGCCTTATTAGTAAGACAACTGACAACCAAATAAGTATTTATCATTTGTCATTACCATGAATTTCCTTCACCTGTCTTGTAAGGTTTTTGTTCCTATAGTACGTAACAGATGTTCGTCTCTATTACTGCAACATAAGAAATGTGGACTAGTATTCATTGTCAAGAGAAGAGACCATAGGCGTTTATGAATTTAATATGCTTTGCTATGCCTACATGTGAAGAAATGTAAGGGCCTATAAGACTTAATAATTTTATAATTTTGCTGAGTCATAAATCTGTACTGAAAGTCCCATGAGGCTGTTATAAAAAGAGTCAATTTGTGAGTGGGCCCAGCTTACTCCCATTATCTACATTTCAATTCAACTGCCATTCCAGTAAGACTGTACTGGCAAGCAGATTCTTCTTTCTTGTAAATAAAAGTCCCCCGCAAAAAGCCAACTCCTAAAATAGAAAAGAAAAAAATAAATCTAAGTAAGTTGTGATACTTGGGAGGGAAAAAAAAAATTTAGACATAATTTAAGAGTGGTATGTCAAAGTTGGCTTGGATCTAGTATGTAAGAAGTTCCCCCTAGATCCTGTATAGAAGTAAGAAAACATCAAAGGAGGGTTGTAAATGAAGGGGGAATATGAAAGGTAGTATACTTATAAAAATATTACTTAGAAAATACAGAAATCTCTTTGGAAATGAGAATGGAAAGCAATCCACACATCTACATACTTCTGTAAAGCAACAATGACTAGCAATAGTGTGAAAATTGGTTTTCTCTGCATGTGAATGTAATAGGGCAAGCAGCATCAACATCGCCACAAATGTTTCTTAGCTGCAGAGACTAAGAAAGGAAAAAGGATATAAACTCAAAGTTTCAATGCATAAAAAATGGCTGAATAGATGAAAATGACTTTATAATTATCATCCATTATCATCACTTACATTGTTCAGACTCA